GGTTCCTGCATTAGTTTCATCACTTCTGTGAGCTTAGTGGCTGCCACAGGAAAAATAAGACTTGTTTTTTTCTCTCCTACCTAGCCCAAGCCAGCTTCCTTGACCATTTTTTGGTCACCTAACATTCTCTAAGCACCATGAACGCACCTTGCATCTTCCAAGCCTTGCGCTGCTCCTCTTTGGCAATGATTTCTATGTCCTTGTCATAGATGTAGTCCTGACACAAGAAGCAGTATATACCTCCATACATCAGGTCAATAGCTGCAGAAAGAAAGGAGGGAAGAGAACAAAATTAAATCTAGTTCGGCAAGGTAGTGCTGCAGGCAGCTGAACACTAGCTGCCCGGAGCATCTTTCTTTGTGAGCTGCAGGAGTTCCAACTGGAAGGATTTATCCAGGGTGAATGAAGTATGTCTGCTATCCAGAGGGCCGAGCGGGAATGGGAGGCACATACCCGTGCCCTGTAAAGTACTGATTCAAGGATCAGGATATTTTGCTTCAGCTGTGCAAGCACAAAATTCAAAACAAGGGCAAAAGTTCAGTATGTGTATTTTAGGTACACAAGGGTTCTCAGCGACCTGTCTGGGGGATGAGACTTTGCTACATTCTCACCTCAATGCTGGCTGGCAATCTTGTTGTTTGCTTTTTTTGTTTTTTCGAGACAAGGTTTCTCTGTAGCTTTGGTGCCTGTTCTGAAACTGTCTTGTAGAACAGACTGGCCTTGAACTCACAGAGATCCACCTGCCTCTGCCTCCTGAGTGCTCGGATTAAAAGCATGCGCCACCACCGCCTGGCTGGCTGGTTGGCTGGCAATCTTGTAAGGGTGACTAAGAGCTATTTGCTGTAGTCCCCTATCTATGAGCCGTTTTTCTCCAGGGACAGGTGAAACAGGTTCCACTCAAAAAACCTTGACTTCATAGCACAGATACCAAACTTAATAAGGTATCTGTCCCAACTGCTACTTTAAACTAGAAACCATCTTTTTTTTCATTTTTATTTTATGTGCATTGGTGTTTTGCTATGACTGTCGGGTCCTCTGGAAGAGCAGTCAGTGCTCTTAACCCCTGAGCCATCTCTCCAGTTCTAGAATCTATTTCAAGAGAAATGAAAATAAAAGCCCATAGAGTGTGGTGGTGTACACCCTTAGTCCCAGCACTCAGGAGATAAAGGTGGGTGGATCATTTTGAGTTCAAGGCCAGCCTGGTCTAAAAGCAAGTTCCGGCTTGAGAAAGAGAAACCCTATCTCAAGAAGAAAAAAAGAAAGAAAAGAAAGACCTATCACACCAAAACTTAGGGACTTGGGGAAGGGGGAGGACACAGGGCTAAGATGGAAACTGAAGGCTGTATGTGCTTACGTCACCCACCACCAAGCCTAGAACCCTAGTACACTGAAGACTAACAAAAGAGGGTCCCACGTCTGAGGCCATCTTGGACTATGTAATATGACTGTTTAAAAGAACAAAGCAAATGCTGGGCATGGTAGACATAACCTGCAGTGCCAGCACTGGGGAGGTGGAAGCAGGAGAATCAGAAGTGCAATTCAAGGTTATCTTTGGCCGCACGGCAATTTCACAGCATGAGACTGCCAACAGTAACACACACACACACACACACACACACACACACACACACACACACACATACGCACAACTACTTCACATACACAAGCATAATTACTTCATATACTTGATGTCATATAATGCTCAGCTAGCCTTTCATGAACCTGCATTACTGGAAACCAAGAAAACCCATTGTTAAACTATAACACCAGTTTAAAAGGTCTCAAATAAATGCCAATGTCCACTTGAAAGCTCAGTTTCACAAGGACTCTTTCATCACAGTGGGCTTTTTGGAAAGATAACATGCTACCAGAGCCAATGCCTGCTCCAGCTCCCGCTGCAGGAGAGCGCCTTACCCAGGTTGTGCCGCTTGGACTTTGCATGGTCATGAATGTGTTTCTTGGTGAAACAGCCAAAGAAGACACAGTAGAGGCAAGAGTGCAGCCGGTTCAGGTGGATGCCGCAGACATGGCAGATGCAGGACTTTGCCTGAAATTCAGAGAAGGAGTTATGAGCAGTATGAATGCAACAGGAGTTCAAGGGGAAACGTGGAGTCCAAGTCAGAGGATCACGATTTGAACACTGGTGGGAGGAAGTACATGAGCTTTCTACTGAGTCTTTACACTTTAACACAGCATTCCATTCTTTGTTTTCCCAAAGCACTTAGTTTAGCTCAAAAACAAATCAACAAGAGAACAGCTATGGTGAGGACATCATTTTCTCACACCCAGCACTGAACAGTGCCCCAGGCAAGTTCACCTGCACTCCAGCCAGAAGCTCATACCCAGCCATCCTTAGCCCAGGTTATCATTTTGAGGCTTAAGAATCAAGGTTCTAAAAGCGATGTACAATTTAAAAGAAAAAACTATAAAACAACCCAAGAACTACAGAAAAGAGACACAAATCAAAGCGATACACACAGGAAAAGAAGAAAAATTCACTAAGAATCAGGCCACAGAAACCCAGCAATGCAATCACAGCAAGTATGAATGCAGCAGTAGACAAGTCTACATACTCACACCACCAAGAATGTGCCAGTCTGCAGCACTGTGGGCTGGGTATGGAGGAGGAAGGGCCAGAGTTAATATGCTCACTGGGCAATCAAGGCACGATCTGACATATATATCAACAGTAAGAATGAACTACTTAAACCTGATAAAGAACAGAAGACATCCAAATCCATACTAAAATTACTACTATACAAGCACACATACTAGCTCTCCCTAAGTCTTCTTCCTAGTAGAGTTCCATATAACTCGTGGGAAAGAAGAAACAAAGCCCATTTTCTATAACCATCGCAGTAACAACTGACTTAAACAGAATCATTCATGGACACTAGAATCACCAGATAAACTATCAATAGTATTCAAAAATTGCAAAATAGGCTAAATACCTACCAAGTCAATGAACAGATAAAGAGTGCTACCACCCTGTACCAAAGACATATCGATATGGGCATGACCATATGCTATGGGCTATAACACACACAGTACAAGTCAACTGTGCAGACTGGGGAGACAGGGAGCAGATACAATACACCAATATAATACTCCACCTCTGGTGGAGGTGGGCAGACTGCATAGTACTGAATACTCCAACTCATACTCTGCTGTTCCTTCAATGACGGAAACTGGCATACTCTGGGTGGTGTGGCTGTACAGAGTTGTTCAACTGCTCTGAATGTGCTGGGTTTGGACTACTGAGTTTCTGGTTTTGCTAAACTTGTGCTTAGGTTTGGATCCAGAGTGCACAGCACATCTACCTGTTGAACATCTGGTCCCAGTCACTTCTCACTGTAGGTTAGCTCAGGGAGTTGTGGTAACTGAAGGCAATGCAAGTCAGTACTTAAATATAGACTATGCATGAGATGAGATAGTTATAGTCTCATGTTATTCATGAACAGTTCACTATTATGTCATAAGACTACATTCTCATTCTTATGGAGGTCGATGGCAATACTACCCAGAAGCCATCAACTGATTTCCTGACAATTTGAAGAAAACAATGCAAAAATGGAGCTAAAAATAGCTTGATAGTTAAAAGTACTGGTTGCTCTTGCAGAGGACCAAGTTCAATTCCCAATACCCATGTAGCAACTCACACCTTTCTAGAACTCCATTTCTAGAGGACCTGATGCCCTCTTATGGCCCGTCTTGAAAAACCAAATAAATAAATAATCACCATCGAAATGTAGACATCTTCTACAAATGGTTTGAAAAGCAGAATACAAAATAAATAACACAAAAAGGACCTACATAGGCAAATTAATAGGTGAGATGTCGCAATAATTTAAAGGGTCGCCAAAGCTCACTGGAAAAGCATGGGGGAAGGGGGTCAGAAAAGAGTAAACAGAGTTTAAACTGTAGAATACACATGTGTCTCATAGGGATAGGATTCCAGCACATGAAATAAGCAGTGTCTCTGGGTGAGTATGAGAGCAAGAGAAAGTTCTCAGGAAGACCTGCCTCTTCTCTTCACCTGGTGCCTTCACACAGAGGAGCACAGTAAAATTAAGGCAGAACTACAGGTTTGCCACTTGCTGTGGAAGACACTAGATTAAAAAAAACAAAAAACAAAAACAGGGCAGATTCATGAACACAGAAAACAGCAAGTGGTCTTTGACACAGTCACAAATCCCTCACTTTTAACAAAACACAGTGGCACATGCCTGTAGTCCCAGCACTTTGAAAGCTGAGGCAGAATGATTGCTGAGTTTAAGGACAGTATGAACTACATAGGGAAATGCTTCCTTAAAAAAATAAACAAACAAACAAATATTAATAATAACCTTCCCTGACATATTTTATATGTTCATTGTGGTAGATCACAGCAACATGCTGAGCTCAGGCTACTGGTATATGTAGCAAAACCAGATTTTTAATCTTTATTTAAAATGGCATGTATGGTCAGTGGCCACTGGATGGTGCGGCAGCTTAGGACCCTAAAGTGGGTGCTATTTACCCATACAGCTTATTTGTGGTATGTGTTCTGGCTTCATTTATCCTACAAGTGAAGGGTTTTAATTTAGATAAGGCTTTAATTCGTAGAGCTGAAAAAACCCTCAAAACCCCAGAGTAGTTCATTAAACACATTCAGTTTAAAATCATGATGCTTAAACAAAGGCAGGTATTTACCCCACAAACTGTGAGGCTATCTTATTTAGAAAAGGCGTTATAGTCTGGGTTAGCACTAAATGCTGACACAAGCATCCTCCCTCCTAAGTGAAGACCAGAAGCTAAGCCCATGTGAATGACAAGATGGACACGGGAGACCGTGGCCTGGGTCTTGGAAGAGGGAGGCCAGGATGAATTCTTCTGACATTTCACTCCCTATGGTAGGAAGCTTTACAAGTGTCATTTGTCTCAGCGGCCCTAGAACGGTGACACAGGATTCCTATCAGCTATTACCCTACTAATACCACTAAGTGTGAAGATGAATTTCCAGTCATTCTCAAGGCTCAGATTTTAAAAACCCAATTTATGCACCAGCAATGAAGCGGGCCCGGGAGAGACACAGCGGGGTGCACAGGGTGCTGAGGGGGGACCTGAGGGGGGACCTGAGGGGGGACCTGAGGGAGTACCTGAGGGGGGACCTGAGGGGGGACCTGAGGAACAGCACAGCTGTGTCTTCTAGAACCACTGCTAGCGGGGTTGCTTCCCACCTACAAAGAGCGGCTATTGTGGTGACCTCTTCAGAGGAATGTGGCTCTGAGCCGGCAGCAGCCTGCCTCGGGTCAGCCTGCCCATCAGCCAGTACCCAAAGCTAGCTCTGTGGATGGTGGAAACTGGAATGGGCTTTGCAGGGAGCCTTTTCCACAACATTTACATAAAGGTACTCTCTCCTAAGTCATAACCCACAGGCTGCAAACAAACCTGACAAGACACCTAACAATGCTTCTTCCTTTATTTTTTAATTATCATATAGTAGTTTCATTATGACATCCTAGTACATATTTATCACTGTACCTTGTCCAAACTCACCACCAACACTATCCCTCTTCCCCCCCCCCCAACTTTTGGGATTTCCCCCCCCCCAAGAAGTCCGCCTACATCACTGTCCTGTGTTTAGAGTCCTCTGGGTCTATACTAAGGACTGGAGTGGTTCAGAGACATGGTAGTCTAGCGCCAGTTCTTTGCAGGGTCTCCACTGGTTTACTTAAAGCTGTAGACGATTACAACCCCACCAGCAGTGTATATAAGGGCTCCCCTTTCTCCCATATCCTGTTTGCTGTCATTTTTCTTGGGGATAGTCACTGCTCTGATGGCTGAAGAGCAATACTTTTCCGCACCATTATGCATGGTCAAATCTTTTTAAAAAAAGAGTAACTGGCTTGTGAAATGAGAACATTCTGAGGCCGAGGGAACTTCAGAAGTGGAGTTCCGCACACAAGCTAAAGTTTCAGGCACCTTCAAGAGCACAACTAGCTGCCTTCATTTCCTACTTCACTGCAGTTCAACAAAACATGGTTTGTGAGTGTTGCACAGGTGTCCGAATTCTGGGCTGTGAACATCACTTAATAAAGAACTTCTAGCATGGTGGAAATTTAAATATTGAGCTGAGCAGTTCTAATTAAAAAGGAAATTTTTCATTTCCTTGTGTGATGCTACACGAAACTAGAGCCAGGGAAGATGGAGGGGAAGCAAAAAATAGAAAGAGAAAGGGGAGGATTCCTCTATCACTCCCATGTAAAAATGAGTTTACAACACATCTCAATCCAGGAGGCAACGGAATGGATCGGTGACAAAATTATGACCATGGAACACTGGTGTCAATCTGGCATTTCTGTGCCATGATGGTTCACCTGTGCAATCTCAGTCCTAACAAAGCTTTGAAAGGAGGTTAGGTGTTTAAGACCAGCCTTTCTTCATAGGAAGCCTCCTGTCTCAAAATACAATAAATTTCTGACCCTCACAGGCTGTTACAGAATATAAACTTTTAGTCACACTAAAAGATGTTATTGCGGTGTCTTCCACCATGATTGATAAAAAAGAAAATTAGGTTGGGTGTGGTGGTGCTCTCCTTTAATCCCAGCAAGCATTCAGGAGGCAGAAGCAGGTGGGTCTCTGTGAATTCAAGGGCAGCCTGGTCTACAAACAGAGTTCCAGGACAGCCAGGGCTACACAGAGAAACCCTGTCTCAAAAACTAAAGAGAGAATTTCATACTTAACATGACTTAGAACCCGTTTTGTTAGTTTTCCCATTAAGAAACGCTACTCAAAACAGAAACAAACAAAAAAATTCCCAATTCCAGTTTTCACCTCAAAATCAAATTTAATAATGAAGTCTAAGATTAAAGAACGTTTTCCGACTTTCAAATCACTAACAATATACTCATAGCTGCTGGGATTACAGGACCAGTAAACAACAAAACAGCCACTACCTCGATGGCTGCGGACGTCAATCACCTCCTATAATCTAAAACCTCGCTTCCCAGCTCGAGTGTGCAGAGGCCCTGCCAGCCTCATCTGTGTGCTGCGGGTCTCAGCCCCGGACGCCATCCGCAGAACCACCTCGCAGACCCCGACCGTGATTCACGGAAGAGGGCTACTCGGGCCCCGACGGTCTAGGCCGATCGCCAAGGCGGGGTCTTTCTCTTCAGACACTCCCCTCCCCGCACCTAGAGGCTTCCTTTCGCCAAACCCCTTACCTCCTCCCAGCACCGCGAGGCTTTGCCTCGTCCCTTCTTCTGCCTCGCCCCTTCCTCTGCCCCTCCCCTCTTCCTCCCTGCACCGCGAGGCTTCCCCTCACCCCCTCCCCTCACTGCCAGGCTTCTCTCCTACCCTCCCCTCCCCGTGTCCCAGGCAGGAGAGCGGGGCAGGCCTCGGACGCACCTTGCGCTTGCGGGCCTCGGCCGTCCCGCTCCACACGAAGCACTGGTAGATGGCCCGCAGGTTTTGCTTCCAGTTGTCCACCTTGAAGCTGCCCAGATGCGAGCAGCCCGGCGGCGCCACGGCCAGCTCAGCATCCATGGCCTCGACCTCAGGCTCGGGCCGGGTGACCATGGCGGGCAGGGCCCGAGCGCGCGGGGCGGGCGGAGACGGGGGCGAGGACGACGCCAGCGCGGCGAGAACAAAGCGGCGGACAAAGACCGCGCGGAGAACCGAGGCACGGGACTGCAGCCCCGACGGCTCACGCAGCACTCTCGGGCTTCGAGGAGGGCGGGGCGGGGCGGGGCGGGGCGGGGCTCTTCTCGGGAGAGGATAACGTCACCCAGGCCGGCGGCCGCAGTGCGCAGGCTCCGCCACTCTAGACCCCGCACCACAGCCCACTCGAGTCCGCTAGCTCCCGCGAGACACCGGGCCCGAGGAGGTGGGGCCAACGGAATCCCGCCCTCGCGTCACGCCATTGGTTGTCTGCCTGTCTGCGGCACGGCCGGCGGTTATCATAGGCTGGAGGGCTGGTCCGGTTTGCTTTGGAGCCGCCTTCCGAGACGCGGGCGACACGACGCTTCGAGTCTCCACTTGGAAGGCGGGGCTTGCTAAGGATTGGGTAAAACGCGTGTCCGTCAGCCCAATGAACCGGTTTGCACCGGCCTGAGCTCTACCGCAAAGAGGCGGGGCGCCGGACGGGGTGGGGCGGGGCCGGCGTCTGCGCTTTCTCCAGGGTGTATTTTCCAGGTTCTGGTTGTTGGTCGCTGGAGTTTTCTTGTGTGGGCGTTTCTGCAGACTGCCATCTTGGCAACTGTATTGGGTACCGCAGTGCCACAGCAGGAGCTGGGCGCAGCAAGAACACAGATTGAGATTCCTTCCCTAGGGTCTAATCCTTTCCTGTTGAACTGGAACGCCATACGAGTATTTTTTAGTGGCTACAAAGCAACAAGAAGCAGGTAAAAGTAATCCAGTAAAGACAATATCATGTCGACGTGTGATACTGTAAAATTGTTAGTGAAGTATTCTAAAAATTTTGCATTGGCTTTGGAATCTCATATTTTACACATTCGGTACAGCATATTCAATTTGTACTAATCACATTACACACTCTAGGTCCTATTATGTGGGGACAGTACAGACCTATAATGCATTCAGCTCTCCTATCTGGGGGTTGCACAAATGAGCCAACTCGGTCTTCCTTCCCTACAAATTGATATCTTCTGAATAATTAGCCCCTCCCCCACCTTTATTCCTTAAACAGTACAGCAGCTAGGTGTCAAACTCTGGTGACAGGTACCTATGATGTGGAGCAATGGAATAATTCACCAAGACAGAAAATGGCGAAGTAGAGAATTCACCAAATGCACTGCGGTGAAAGCAGCTAGCAGGCTAGAGAAATGCCAAATGCCAATAGGCATTCTGAAAACTGCTCTTACGGGCGGGGGCGGGGGGCGGGGAGCGTCCTATGGGAATAGACAGCCTTTCGATGTCACAAGTTCCAGGAGCAACTGCAGTTAAGGCTTGTTAGCTAGCAGCAGCCTGGCCTTGAAGCAATGATGGTCTTACCCAAACTTAGACAGAGAAACCCTGTCTCAAAAAAACAAAAACAAAACTTCCGTGTTGCGGACAAATTAGCGGACACCCAGAGCCTCTGCCTAAAATGCCCACGGTATATATTCCCTAAGCTCCCAGGCTTCCTCAGAAACTTCCTTTACAGTTTGATCTTCCACTGCCACACTGTTGCAAATGACAGTCACCTTCCCACCCCACCCCCTCTTCCTGCTTTATTTTACTTGAAAGAATGTATCACTTTTATCTGACAGTGTACAGTTACTTGTTTAGTTGACTTTCTCTTTGGTGTGTATGTGTTGTAGAATACTTTGGTTTATTCTGTGGAACATTTATTTAATGATGTAAAGATGTGTTGTTTTGTTTATATTGCATTTATTTAACTCTTTGAAACTGTGTTAGTTTGCCTGTCTAAAATACCTGATGGTCTAATAAAGAACGGAACAGCCAGTCACTAGGCAGGAGAAAGTTAGGTGGGACTGGCAGGCAGAGAGTATAAATAGAAGGGGAAATCTGGATGAGGAAAGAAGCAACAAAGGAGCAAGGAGAGAAGGACATGGAGGGAGGCAGTCACCCAGCCAGCCACGGAATAACTGTGAAAGTAAGATAAGCAGAAGAAAAAGAAAAAGCCGAGGGGCAAAAGGTAATTGGGATAATTTAAGAAAAGCTGCAAAGAAACAAGCCAAGCTAAGACTGGGAATTCATACGAAAAATAATAAGCTTCCATGTATATTTATTTGGGAGCTGGGTGGCAAGCCCCCGAAAGAGCTAAGAGTAAAAAGAGTTTTAAAAAGCGGGCTAGAGTTAAAAAAAAAAAATCTAACTCTGTGTGTGTGTGTGTGTGTGTGTACAGCTTAGGCATGGTCTCATATTGCCATGTTGATCTCAAACTCATTATGTAGCTGAGGATGCTCCAACTCCTGTACCCACCCTCTGAGTACTGAGATTATAGTTAAACACTATCCTGCCCAGTGTCTAAGGTTCTAAGGACCAAACCAGGGTTTCATGCATGCTAGACAAATACTCTAACACCCGAGCCACATTCCCAGCCCCTAGTTTTTGTTTTTGTTTTTTTTTACTCCCAATGAAAAATTGATGAGGATGTAATTTTTGTGTTTTATTTCCTACTCTCCAATGCTTACAAAGATATTTGAGTATTCAAAATTTATAACTTGTATCTTAGTTATGATTACTATTGCCGTGATGAAACACTAAGACCAAAGGCAACTTGGGGAGGAAAGGGTTATTTCACTCATAGTTCCATATAACAGTTCATCATCAGAAGCAGTGAGGGTAGGAACTCAAGGCAGGAACCTAGAGGCAAGAGCTGGTGCAGAGGCCATGGTGGGGTGCTTTTTACTGGCTTACTCTCTATGACTTGCTCAGCCTGCTTCTTTATAGAACCTAGAACCACCAATCCAGAATTGTATTGTCCACAGTGAGTTGGACCTTCCCCTATCAATCACAAATAAGAAAATGACTTACAGGCTTGCCTAAAGTCCTATCTTATGAAGACATTTTCTCAGTTGAGGTTCCCTCCTCTCTGATGACTCTAGCTTGTGTCAAGCTGACATAAAACTAGCAACTAACATAAAACCAAGCATGTTCATAGGAGAACCACAAAACACACACATACGACTTCACAGAATAAAAACACTTCACAGGTGAAAGAAGAGGTATGCTTGAGAAAAGAATATCGGCCTACAAAAAAGTCAACCATGAACTTTAAATTCTAAGCAGACAATGGCTTACCTAGCATGTTTCAGGCCTTGAGTTTGACCCCCAGGACTTCAGAGAAGTTGTATGTGATTAAGTCCCATAAATATTGTAAGTCTGGGCATGGTGCTTCATGTCTATTTTTCCAGCACCTAGGAGGCTAAGGCAAGAGGATCACAAGTTCAAGGTCAGCCTAGTGTAACATACATTGTGATGGCTAAGGGAAATTCTGTTTTGTACTAGGCACCCATTTTAAATTCCTAAAGATAATCTCCTAGCAACTCTGACTCTTTGCCCCCTTCCTCCCCAAACTGGTAAAATTGTTATGAAATGATTAACCACTTGCTCTGGTTTCTTTTTTTAATTTTTATTGAGCTATATATTTTTCTCTGCTCCCCTCTCCCCTTCTATCCTTTGCCATGAACCCTATGCTCCCAATTTACTTAAGAGATCTTGTCTTTTTCTGCTTCCCATGTAGATTAGATCCATGTATTTCTCTCTCTTAGGGTCCTCTTTGTTGTCTAGGTTCCCTGGGAATTGTAAGCTGATTTTTCTTTGTTTTATGTTTAAAAGCCACTTATGGGTGAGTACATATTATACTTCTCTTTCTGGGTCTGGGTTACCTCAGACCATCCTTTTGGGTTTACCTGGATTCATCCATTTGCCTGCAAATTTCAAGATGTCATTTTCTTCTGCTGTGTAGTACTCTATTGTGTAAATGCACCACATTTTCCTTATCCATCCTTAGGTCGAGGGGCATTTAGGTTGTTTTCAGGCTCTGGCTGTGACAAACAATGCTGTTATGAACATAGCTGAGCACATGTCCTTGGTATGTATAGTATGATTGTTGCTCTGATTTCTTAAACTCTGCTTCTGAGTGTGCCGGTTCCTCTCTTCGCTATAAATTTCAGAGGGATGAAGTAATTGTGACCTGCCTTTAAAAGCACCCCTCACCCCAAGCTGGGCCTTAAGTCCAAATCCAAACCAAAGAAACTTAGGACACCTGCAGCTTAAAATAAAAATTTGACTAACTATAATTTAAATTAAGTCTGTGCTGTCTCTGTGTTTGTCATGTGTTGTTTAAGTTTGCTGCAAATTGACTCCGAGATAAAGAAGGTCCTCCCTTGCCTCAGACTTAAACATGTTTATGTTAAGTGTCCTCTAAACCCTATTCTGATCAAGTTGTCTCCCTGACTGTGTAACGGGAAGAGGAAAAAACAGCAAGAAGATAATAGTATTGAGAACATTGTGTCCTCAGGTTGAAGTAATCTATTCTTTTAATCCCAGTACTCAACAAGCAGAGGCAGGCAGATCTGTGTGAGCTTGAGGGCAGCCTGGTCTACATAGAGTGTTCCAGGATAGCCAGGGCTACATCCTGAGACCCTATCTCAAAAATACAAACAAATAAGCAAACAAATAAAAAACTAAAACAAAACCAAACCTACCTGTATTCTTGAGAAGAGCTAAAAGGATAACCATCTCAAACAGTACTATTGTTTTTCCCATGGGATAAAAAATGTCTGCAGAGGGACTAGAAAGCCAAAAAACTCAATGATACTCTTAACTAGGAATGACAGCGTCACTACTTCTCTCCCAGTGGATTTCTGCTGAGTGTCAGAAACTCCAATTTCATGATGCCATCTTCGCTTTCTCAATTTGCCCATCCGATCGGTTGTCTCTGCTAGATGTTACAGGCACCTGCTTTGATGATGTTCAACTGCCTGCTTCATTTATCAACTTGCTATTTCCAATTTGTGCTAACTTTTGCTACATACACAAACTAACTCATTAGAACTGAAAGTGAAGCTATCATGGTTCATTCTCCAAACTGTAGAGGGCCGCAGCCACATTCTCCATTACAAGATGGCGCTGACATCCGGTTTCACCGCCAGGTGAGCGCACAGGTGCGCGGTAACCTCCCACTGCTGTCCCTGCCTACTCCCGAGGCATCACCTAGGATTATGAGCAGCGGCCAATCGAAGGGTGACACGTCCGTCCGAAGCAGGGACTGTTTCCTATATATAGGGATGGGTTCCCCTCGACCAGGGTCCCCGGCCATGTTGGCTGATGCTCTCTCTCCCAAGGGGCATTAAAGCTATTTATGCAGAAGGATCCTAGTGTTCCGCGTGGTTCTTGCTGGCGAGACCGGGCATGGGACACCAAACGGTACAGAATACCTAGGAAGGAAAACTATTGTGTCTGAGGAATGTGTGGATTCTTTTATTTGATGAGTATGATTTTAATTCGAGCATGTTTACAGGGCATTCAAACCCTAATTTTGAATACTGAAAAATACACATCAGTACCTGTTTTTTAATCACTACTGTCATGTAGTTACAGAATTTCTGTGCTCTCTTCTTACATTAATAAATAATGATTTAAAATTCTGGGCAGGTAGGATGGCTTAGCTCTTGCTCTGTGTGCTGACTTATCTTATGTCATCTTGACACAAACTAGTTATCTGAAGGACCTTCAGTTGAGAAAATGCCTCTATAAAATCCAGCTATAAGGCATTTTTGTTTTGTTTTGTTTTGTTTTGGCTTTGGGGTTCATTTACAAACATATTTTTATTGATTACTTGGGAATTCCCCATCATGTGCTCAGATAACACTCACTTCCCAGTCTTCCCAGGTCCACTCCCCCTCCAAAAAGAAAAAAGAGGAAGAAGAGGAGGAGGAAGAGGAGAAGGAGAAAGAGAAGGAGGAGGAGGAGGAGGGGGAGGAGGAGGAGGAGGAAGAGGAGCATGGTCAAGCTTCCAGTGACAAATGAGTCCCTCCCAATGTGCACCCCTACCAGGTACCATCCGTTGTGGAGAGATATACGTCAGCATCTTTATCACAATTTTTAAGAGTTTTCTTTGATGGCTTCCTGTCTAGGCTGTTACTTTTTGAGGGGTGGTGGCAGGCTAGGAGTTGTCACATAAGCCTTCCATGTCCCTCTTTCACAACCATGAAATCACACCATCATCAATATCATTGCAAAAGTAGCTTCCTTGCTCTTTACAGATAGTGGGAGAAACACAAAAACTTCTTGGGAGATGCGAGAAGGCGAGCTGGTATAGGAGGTTCTTCTGTTCATGTGTTGCTTTCATTGGTTAATGAATAAAGAAACTGCTTTGGGCCTGATAGGGCAGAACTTAGGTAGGTGGCGAAGACAGAACTGAATGCTGGGAAGAAGGACAGAGTGAGAGACGCCATGGGATCCGCAGCCAGAGGTAGATGTGCTGAAACTTTTCTGGTAGGTCACTACCTTGTGGTGATACACAGATTGATAGAAATAGGTTAAACTAATATGTAAGAGGTAGCCAATAAGAAGTTAGAGCTAATGGCCAAGCAGTGTTTTAATGAATACAGTTTCTGTGTGGTTATTGCGGGTGTAAGCTAGCCAGGTGGCCAGGACAAAAGGTCCGCTCTCCATGCAACAGCCAGCTAGGCGAGCTGCTTGCTATTCAGCCTCTCTGGGGAGCAGGGGTTCTACTCAACCTTTAAAAATTGAGTTCTTTCAAGGGCCAGAAATTTAGATTGTAGCTTTGAAATAGTTGGTGCTTGAGGGAACAGAATTTCCTCAGGCTGTGGCTCTTGCAGCCTAACTGCTGCTGGTAGAGGTGGAGTTGTAATTGCTGACTAGCTTAAAAGACATAAGAGACATAGCTTAAAAAGCAGCAACAATTAAAAAAAGAGGACAGTAATTGGTGCTCAACATGGGGCTGTATTTCCATGTGAGGCACCTCAAAACGTCAAAATAGTAAAAATCCAACAACATATGGCATACCAACGTGGGCCTGTATTTCCACATAGAGCCAGAGAAAGCTGAAAAAAAAAGTATATGGCCCCTGTAAGAGGTGCTGCTGTTCAACCAGCAGTGCTAAATAGAAAGTAGAGACTCACGAGCTAAGTGAAAATCGCTTGAGGCAGCACAAGTGCTGGTGTCCATAGCTAGAAAGGTTTAAAGCAGTTACTGGTAAAGCACCTCTGACTTTGCCAGCCCACAAGCTTTGGGCTTGGCTTTCAGGACCTGACCTAAGAGTGGGCAGAGCCGCCTGCTAGAGTATACGGAGGACCCAGGTGTAGCTTAATAGTTTAAAGTTGGCTCATGCTGTCAAAAATGGCTAAAAGATGCAGTAAAAGAAGTCCAAATGGGAAAAAAATCTTTAAACAAGTTCCAGTGTGTTTTACAATGTGTATAGGCTTAGGAAAGAAAGAAAATGGGCATAGGCAGTTATAGAAAGTTAAAAAAAAATAAAAACATCTTTAAAGGGACAGTAAAAGTAATAGAAAAAAAGCCATGTAAAGATGGAAAATACTCAGGGGGTCTGGATCCTATATGCTATTGTGTTGATGTTGAATTTTTTGATTTCTGAAAAGCAAGGGACAGCTACTAAGAGACCTGAAATTGAAAGAGGGATTGTTGAAATAAGCCAGCCTAGATATTTTAAGACTGTCTTAACTTAAAAAAAAAAAAGCCAAAATGTGTATTTGTCAAATCGAAATCAAAAAAATGCTTTGGAGAAGTGGTTTTGCTTTTGTTTCCACAGGAAACAAGAGGCTGTGAATTTGTTCCAGGTTTATATGGGTCTGGGTTGATCAAGGTAGACCTCTTGAACCTTGACAGGTGATATCTATCAACAAAGGATATACCAATGGTAAGTACCTAAAAGTTTTCTCAGTGACCCTAAAAATGCCTTTGCCCACATTCAGCAGAAAGTAATCTAGAGAACCCAACATCCACATTCCCAAGAGTTGGGTAGTGGGAGGCTTTTGGTTATATTGTGGGTCATGGATGTTTGTCATAGTTAGGAGAATATAGGAATATACTAATATAAGATAAAAAGATATTTTGCATTGGCTTTTGATTTTGGTATATTGATACAAATTAAAAGTCAATTTTGTTACTCTGTACATAAGTTTTTACTCTTATTTAAAGGATCTGTGTATATGGATAAAATTTAAAGTAATTTTTCTTACAACACACTCTGTATATGTTTCTACTCTAAAGGATTTTTGTATATTGATACCAATTTAAGGGTATTTTTGTTACAACATATTGTATGTATGTTTCTGCTCTAGTTTAAGGTATTGTACACAGGTGTTTCATTTAAAAATGTAATGTAAATTCTAGTTTTTAAAAGCTATTATTATGAACTATTTAGGATAATCAAGAAGCACAGATCAGTAGTTAGTCATCTCTAACAGTCAAATCTGTAGATGTGCTAGGTATGCTTTCCAGATCATATAGAGATATATTTTAGATAGACAGATGCTCTTCAAACCTTTCAAAGACCTACATAATATGGCATTTAAAATGTTTTGTTAATCTAATGTTTTTCATGACAATGAGACACATCTGCTCCTAGAAGCACCAATTTACTTTAGAGATAATGGTCATCAAAGAAACTCCTTATGGAATTGCTTTCAGTGTGGCAAGGCTAGCCATTTGGGCAAGAAACTGCTATTGCCTGGACTGCTTGACAGTATGTCGTATAAACTGGACATGCAGGATCCATAGGTAAGTAACCACTGAACTTTACCAAAACAAGGCAGGATGGTCTTTCAGGGTTCCTACTTCACAGAAAAAACTGCCAGACATTTTGCAAGACATAGGAAAATGACTGACAAACTGATAATATAGGCAGAATAGTCTTTCAAATTTCATGCTTCATTGAAAAGTCTGCCAGATACTCTAGGCCTGTAGGCTGAAGATGGATACCCCAATGATGCAGAGGAACTTTGGGTGACTGTGTCCAAGCAGTCAGATGTCTCTTTCTAAAGTTTTTGAAAGTCGTTTGCAATGTACTTTTTGTTTACTTAAATAATATTATATCCTTCTGGTGCCTTGGATGGAGTTGAAGACTAGATAGTTATAGTTGCAGATTTCTTTAGATATGGTAGAAAGTAAGATTGGACGGTGGTGGTGCATGCCTTTAATCCCAGCGCCTGGGAGGCAGAGGCAGATGGTTTCTGTGAGTTGAAAGCCAACCTGGTCTACAAAGTGAGATCTAGGACAGCCTGGACTATTACTCAGAGAAACCCTGTCTCAAAAAAAAAACCAAAACAAAACAACAAACAAACAAACAAACAAAAAACCCAAAACAGAATAAAAGAACATAAGTTAGGTATAAAACTTTGGATTCACTAACATAGGACAGATAATGCATTATTTTCTCTGAATATGCTAATTACAAATGGACAGAATATTATAAATGTAATTATTGCTTGATAACTATTTTTGTTGGGTATAGTTTTACTATGTTAAAGTTAAAACCTTTCTTTTTATTTAGACAAAAGGGGAAAATATAAGCAGAAATGAAGATGGAAAAAGTCAATATTACAACTAGAAAATTCAGGGAAAGTCTTTCACGTGGAATGAATCAAACAGAGGTTAAAATAATCATTACTCAAAGATAAAGTAAAGGATCCAGACAAAATGTGGGGAAAGTTTAAAGCTAAGAAAAGGAACATGTAGGAAATCTGGGACACCATCAAAAGACCAAATCTTTGAATTATAGGCATGGATGAGGGAGAAGATGCACAGACCAGATATTTAATAGGATTATAGAAACAAACTTTTCCAGACTAAAGGAGACAGCTCGTTCGTTTCCCCCATCGCCTGGCTGCCCAGACTTTTGAAATAACCACACAGAAACTGTATTAATTAAATCACTGCTTGGCCCATTAGCTCTAGCTTAACAACCACCATGACCAAGTAGGCTTCATCCAGAGAGGCAGGGATGGTTCAACATACAAAAATCTGTCAATGTAATCCACCATATAAACAAACTGAAAGGAAAAAAAAATCACATGATCATTTCATTAGATCCTGAAAGAGCCTTCAACAAAAGTCAACACCCCTTCATGATTCATGATTCAGGTCTTGGAGAGAGCAGGGATACAAGGAACATTCCTAAACATAATAAAGGCAATATGCAGTAAGCCAACAGCCAACATCAAACTACGAGAAACTCAAAGCAATCCCAATGAAATCAGGAACAAGGCAAGGCTGTTCACTCTCTCCATATCTATTCAACATAGTACTTGAAGTTCTAACAAGAGCAATAAGAAAACAAAAGGTGAAAAAGGTGACACAAATTGGAAAGGAAGAAGTCAAACTTTCATTATTTGCTGATGATACAATAGTATATATAAGTGACCCCAAAAACTTTACCAGGAAACTCCTACAGCTGATAAACACCTAATAAATGGGACCTCCTAAAACAGAGAAGCTTCTGTAAAACAAAGAACATGGTCAACAAGACAGAAAGGCAGCCTACAGAATGAGGAAAGATCTTCACCAACCCCACATCTGACAGAGGACTGATCTCTAAAATATACAAAGAGCTCAAGAAACTAGAATTTGAAAGAGCAAATGACCCAATAAAAAATGGGGTACCGACCTAAACAAAGAACTTTCAGCAGAAGAATAGCAAGTGGTCAAAAGACACTTAAAGAAATGTTCAGGTTCCTTAGCTATCGGAGAAATGCAAATTAAAACAACTCTGAGATTCCATCTTATACCTGCCAGAATAGCCAAGATCAAAAACATGGATGACAACTTATGCTGGAGAGAATATGGAGTAAGGAGAACACTTCTTCATTGCTGGTGGGAGCGAAAGCTTGTGCAGCTGCTGTGGAAATCAATATGGCAGTTTCTCAGAAAATTAGGAATCAGTCTACCTCAAGACCCAGCAATACCACTTTTGGGCATAAACCCAAAGGATGCTCAATCATACCACAAAGACATTTGCCCAACTATGTTCATAGCAGCATTATTAGTAATAGCCAGAACCTGGAATCAACCTAGATGCCCCTCAGCCAAAGAATGGATAAAGAAAATGTGGAACATCTACACAATGGAATACTACTCAGTGGTAAAAAAAAACAATGACATTTTGAAATTTGCATGCAAATGAATAGAACTAGGAAAAAACCCAGACCCAGAAAGACAAATACTACCATATGTATTCACTCATAAGTGGATATTAGACTTAAAACAAAGGATAACCAGCCTACAGCCCATGACTCCAGGGAACCTAGACAACAAAGAGGACCCTAAGAGTGACATACATTGATCCACTTAGGAAGGAGAAAAAGACAAAATCTTCTGAGTATATTGGAAGTATGGGGGGGGGCAGGAGGGAAGGTGGAGGGAGTAAGGAAGGGGAGTGAGAAAAATGTATAGCTCAACAAAAACAATAAAAAGACAAACATCAAATAAATAAACAAACAAAATACAAATAAATGACTTAATGATACAACTCAAGAATTTGGAAAAACAAGAATAAACCAATTTGAATTCACTAGATTGCAAGAAATAATGAAAATCAAAGTAGAAATTAATGAAATAGAAACAAAGTAATATGAAGAATCAATAGATCTAAGATCTGGCTCTTTGGGAAGATAAACAAGATTGACTGACCCTTGCCCAACTAACCGAGAGGAAGAAAGAAACGGATGGCTCAAACTAACAGAATCAGAAATGAACAGGGAAGATTACAACACAAGCATTACAACAGACATCAAAGAAATACAGAATATTATAAGGAAATGCCCTAAAAATCTGTACTCTATAAAGCTTGTGAAATCTAAAAGAAATGGATTAATTCCTTGATTCATCTAAACTACCAAAGTTAAACCAAGGTGAGATCAACAACAAATAATGAGATTGAAACAGTAATAAAAAGCTAAAGTAGTGTAATCACCTTAAAAAACAAAAACCCAACATGATCATCTCAATAAATGAAGATAAAAATGATCAATTGCTCAGCCCCTGCAACCTACAAGTCCTATTCTGCCCCCAAACCTACCCCGTCCCCCGCGACCTCAGAGGATCTCTGATGTACAGACTGCAACTGTACAGAGTGGACCAAGAGGTGAGTGACAAGCTCCCCAGCGGGACAGACCAGTCTCTAGGGTTTGGGGCAAAAGCCCTCCCCCTCCCCCACCTGCCTCAGCTTCACTAGTAGGCCAGTAGACAAGCCTCCTGCAGGTAGGTTGCTCCAACCCTCCCCCACACATGGATCAGACCCTGTAATCGACAAGTCCCACTCCGCCCCCAAATTCATTGATTCCCCCCCCAACCCCCCAGCCCCCATCCTCCCTCACCCCACTCCCGGGACCTCAGAGGATCTCTGACGCACAGACTGACTGCACAGAGTGGACCAAGAGGTAAATGGCCAGCTCCCCAGCTAGACAGCCTAGTCTCCAGGCCCTAGGCCCTGGGGCAAAACCCCTCCCCATCACTTCAGCTTCACTAGCAGCTAGCAGGCAAGCCTCTGACAGGAAGGCTGCTCCAAGACTCCCCACCCCCACCCCCGCAACCCCCCATCTTTCAGACCCTGTAATTGACAAGTTCCACTCGGCCCCCAAACACACCCTTCCCCATGACCTGAGAGGATCTCTGATGCACAGATTGTGACTGCACAGAGCCAACCAAGAGGTGAGTGGCCAGCACCCCAGATGGATAGTTCAGTCTCTAGGCCCTCAGCCCTGGGTCAAAGCCCCGGGTCCCTTCCCCACCTGCCTTAGCTTCATTAGCCAGCAGGCAAGTCACCTACAGGCTGTTCCAACACCCCCCTCCCATCCATCCAACAGACCTGTAATCCACAAGTCTCACTCCATACCAAACTCACCCATCCCTGGAGACCACAGCAGCTTTCTGAAAACAGACAGTGACTGCACAGAGTACCAAGAGTTGCTCCATAAGACACAGACAACAACTGCAACATCAGTCCAAGACACAGACACTGACTGCAAGGATTGTACCAAGTGGCAAAGAAATAGTCTGCACCAATTGGAGGAAGAGATGAGTAGACACCAATGTAAGAATACATTCAACAACATAAAGAGAAACATGGCAACATCAGAACCCAGTAGTCATACAACAGGAAAACCTGAACATTCTAACCCAGAAGAAGCAGAAGAAAAAACCTTAAATATAACTTTATGAAGATGATAGAGACTCTTAAAGAGGAAATGAAAAATTCCTTTAAAGAGATGGAGGAAAAGACAAAAAATTAGAAGAAATCAATAAATCTCTTAAACCCATGAAAACCAAGGGAGGGGGACAATCAAACAGGTGAAGCAAACAGTTCAAACAGTTCAAGACTTGAAAACTGAAATAGAGGCAATAATGAAAACACAAACCGAGGAAATTCTGGAAATGGAAAATCTGGGCAAATGAACAGGAACTACAGGTGCAAGCATAGCCAACAGAATACAAGAGATGGAAGAAAGACTCTCAGATGTTGAAGATGGGGTAGAGGAAATAGATTTATCAGTCAAAGAAAATGCTAAATCCAATAAATTTTTAACACAAACATCTAGGAAATCTGGGACACCAAGAAAAGAGCAAACCTAAGAACAATAGGGATAGAATAATTTCAGTTCAAACGCACAGAAAATTTTGTTAAAAATATAATGTTGGCATGTCCCGGCAGGCTCGCAGAGCAGCCGCTAGTCCGACAAGAACAGCTGTGGGTCCCTGCAAGATCCCCAGGGTGGCAGGCTGGTCCTGCCATGCGGCCCGGAGAGCAGGTGGGTGGGTGCAGTGGATAAAAGACTTACAGGACATAGTAAATAGGTGTAAGGCTAAACATAAAGGTAAACATTTCTTACTTAAAGAAGAGGGAGACAGAGAGACATGGAGACAGACATAGAGGTGACACAGAGAAGACACTTGCACATGCTGAGAGAGGGGGAGAGAAGAGAAAGGTTAAGATGGTGACCAGGGGGTCAGAAGTTGCTGGGAGTGGGCGTGGCTTGCCCTTAAAGGGACCAAACCAAAAGAATAACAGAAATATATTCAACAAAATCGTAGAAAAAAACTTTTCCAACCTAAAGAAGGATATGACTATGAAGGTATAAGAAGCTTACAAAACACCAGATTGACTGAACTAAAAAAAAAAATGTCCCCTCACCACATAATCAAAACACTAATCATACAGAATAAAAAAAGAATACTAAGAGTTGCAAAGAAAAAAGGCCAAGTAACATAGAAAGGCAGGCCTAGCAGAATTACATCTGACTTCCCAATGGAAACTTTGAAAGTCAGCCCTGGACAGATATGCTGTAGACACTAAGAGGCCATGTAAGCAAGCCTAGACTACTATACCCAACAAAGCTTTTATTCACCATAGACAGAGAAAACAAGATATTCCATGACAAAACCAAAAGTACTAGACAGAAAGTACTAGAAGGAAAACTCCAACCCAAGGAAGTTAGCTGCACCCATGAAAATACAGGCAACAGATAACCTCACATCAGCAAACTCCAAAGAAGGGAAAAACACAAACACTACCAATGAAAAATAACAGGAATTAACAATCACTGGTCATTAATTTCTCTTAATAACAATGGACTCAATTCACCTATAAAAAGACTCAGGCTAACAGAACGGATATGAAAACAGGATCCACAAGAAATACACCTCAAATACACCCCAACCTCAAAAACAAGACATTATGATAAAGTAGAGGGTTGGGGAAAGATTTACCAATCAAATGGACCTAAGAAACAAGCGGATGTAGCTATTCTAATATTTAAAAAAATAGACTTCAACCTAAAAATAAAAAGAGATGGAGAAGGACATTTCATACTTCATCAGGATGAAGTCTCAATCCTGAACATCTATGCCCCAAATACAAAAGCACCCATATATGTACAAGAAACGTTACTAAAACTTAAGTCATACATCAAGTCCCACATACTAACAGTAAGAGACTTTCAACACCCCACTCTCACCAATGGACAGATCAGCCAGACAGAAACTTGACAGAAACTAACAGATGTCATGATTCAAATGGACTCAACAGACGTCATCTATAGACCATTTTATCCAAACACAAAAAAATACACCTTCTTCTCAACACCTCATGGAACTGTCTCTAAAACTGACCACATACTCGGTAACAAAGCAAACCTCAACAGATACAAAAATAACCCCCTGTATCTTACCATGGTTTAAAGTTAGAATTCAATAATACAAATTGCAAAAAACCCACAAACTCATGGAAATTGAACAGTGCTCAGATGAATCACCTCTGGGCCAAGGAAGAAATAAAGACTTCCTAGAATTCAATGAAAATGAATGCACAACATACCCAAACCTATGAGACACCATGAAAACAGAGCTAAGAGAAAAGTTCATAGCACTAAGTGCCTACATAAAGACAGTAGAGAAATCTCACAGTAGTGACTTAACAGCACACCGCAGACTCATTCAGTAGGAGTAAACGACAAGAAATAATCAAATTGAAGACTGAAATCAACAAAATAGAAACAAAACAATACAAAGAATCAATGAAGCAAAGAGCTGGTTCTTTGAGAAAATCAACAAGATAGACAAACCCTTATCTAATCAAAAGTCAGAGAGAAGACTTCCAAATTAACAAAATCAGAAATGAAAAGGGGGATATAACAGACCTTGAGGAAATCCAGAGAATCATTAGGTCATACTTTGAAAACTTATACCACAAAATTGGAAAATCTAAATGAAATTAACAATTTTTGGATAGGTCCCACATACCAAAATTAAACCAAGTCTAGATGAACAATTTAAATAGACCTATTACCCCTAAGAAAATAGAAGCAGTCATCAAAAGTCTCCCAATTTAAAAAAAAAGAAGAAGAAGCCAGGGCCCAATGGGTTCAGCACAGAATTCTTCCAGAACTTAAAAGAAGAGCTAATACCTATGCTCATCAAATTGTTCCACACAATAGAAATAAAAGTAATATTGCCAAATTCTTCTGAATATGAGGCCACGGTTACCCTGATACCCAAACCACACAAAGACACAACTAAGAAAGGGAATTACAGACCAATCTTCTTCATGAACATTGATGTAAAAATACTCAATAAAATTGATTTGGCAAACTGAATCCAAGAACACATCAAAAATATCATCTGCCATAATAAAGTTGGCTTCATCCCAGAGATACAGCGACATTTTAACATATGAAAATCTATCAATGTAATCCACCATATAAATAGACTGAAAGAAAAAGACAATATGACCATCTCATTAGATGCCGAAAATGCATTCAACAAAAACTAATACCCTTCATGATAAAGGTCTTGGAGAGATCAGGGATACAAGGAATATATCTAAACATAATAAAAAATATATACAGCAAGTTAACAGCCAACATCAAATTAAATGGAGATAAGCTCAAAGTGATCCCACTGAAATCAGAAACAAGACAACGCTATTCACTCTATATTTATTCAACATAGTTCTTGAAGTTCTAGCTAGAGCAATAAGTCAACAAAAGGAGACCAAGGGGATACAAATTAGAATTGAAGAAGTCAAACTTTTGCTATTTGCAGATGGTATGATAATATATATATGAGACCCACCCCAAAAGTTCTATGAGGGAACTCCTACAGCTGGTAAACACCTTCAGTAATGTGGCAGGATCAAGATAAACTAAAAAAAAAAAAAAATCAGTAGCCCTCCTATATACAAATGATAAAGGGATTAAGAAAGAAATCATAGAAACATCACCATTTACAATAGACACAAGTAACTTAAAATATCTTGGGTAACTAATCAAAGAAGTGAAAGACTTGTATGACAAGAACTTTATGTCTTTGAAGAAAGAAACTGAAGAGGCTATCAGAAAATAGATCTCCCATGCTCTTGGATAGGTAGGATCAACATAATAAAAATGGCAGTCCTGCTAAAAGCAATTACAGATTCAGTGCAATTCCCATCAAAATCCCAATACAATTCTTCACAGACTTCAAAAGAATAATATTCAACTTCATATGGAAAATCAAAAAACCCAGGATAGCCAAAACAATCCTGTACAATAAAGGAACTCTTGGAAGCATCACAATCCCTGACTTCAAACTCTACTATAGAACTACAGTAATGAAAACAGCTTGTTTTTGTCATATAAACAGACAGGAGGACCAATGGAATTGAATCAAAGACCCAGATATCAATCCACACACCTATGAACACCGGAGTTTTGACAAAGAAGCTAAAATTATACAATGAAAAAAAAGAAAGCATCTTTGACAAATGATGCTGGCATAACTGAATGTCAACTTGTAGAAGAATGCAAATAGATCCATATCTATCACCATGCACACAACTCAAGTCCAAATGGATCAAAGATCTCAATATAAATCCAGCCACAATAAACCTCATAGAAGAGAAAGTGGGAAGTAGCCTTGAATGCATGTGAACAGAAGACTACTTCCTAAATATAACCCCAGTAGCACAGACACTGAGTGCAACAATAAATAAATGGGACCTTCTGAAACTGAGAAACTAAT